CTATTTTAATAATCTAAACTCTGGATAAGTCCTTTCTTCAAAATTATGAAGAGTTATTAAAATAACATAATAAAATTACAATCGAAATATTTGTAAAAAAAAACACAAAGAAAATAGTCATTTACACAAAAAAAAGGCATTAAACCTAAATATGATTTTATGTGCTAACATGTTTATTTTTTTACGTGTATTATTTACTTAACTACGCAAACCTCAAACAATATATTATTTTAATTATATTTGTAATATTTCAGGTATGAAATCTGAATATATTAAGATAGTTCATACAGAATTATCATAAGAAAGCTAGAGAGCAAAATTTTAAAAACAATTACTTTTTATGCCACTATTATATATCACAAATCCAACACGTAACATGTTCACTAACCCTAACATGATACGAACCCACAATCCCTGTGCTACAAAATTAGCACTCAACCAGCCAGTCGTCTCACTACTCAAATTACACATTTAATACCATGGAGATTACGTGATCATGTATGCATACGATGAATAATCAACCTGGGATACTGTCCGCCTAATCTCGCAACATATCCTAAATACGTCTTCAGGCTAAATCATTTTAATCAACGTTAACCTGTTTCTTCCATTTGTGTGTTGATCGTCGGGGGCTTTTTAGTCTTCAATGTTTACGTTAAACAGATACCCATGGTACTACGGCGACCTACTTCCGTAACTAAATAATCGACGTTTTCATTAATCCACTTAGAGTATGATTGATTTTTCAATACGTATATTTTTTTGCGCAAGAAGAAAATAAAAATGCATAATGCAAGTTTGATGAAAATAGAAATTTGAGATTCGTGTAGATAATGCAAATATTCCCATCATGCATTTGAAATATCTTTCAAAGCTTTCTGGGTCAGGATATAAAATGTCAGTAAAATCAATAAAGTAATGTTAACAAGATAATAATTATAAACAAAACTTTCGTTTTATTGATACACACATTTGTTATATCTCATTATGCAAAGATCATAATTGTCATTATTTATTTATTATTATTATCATCATTAATATTACTATTATTATCATTATCATCTTTTGTACATTTATATAAAGTAGTAATATTTTAGCATCCATCCTAATTTATTATTTTTTTAAATTGCTCATAAAGTATTATTATAAGTAAAATATAATTAAATTATCTCTGACAAACAGATGTTAGTTTCCCATATATAGATGTGATATAAACATAATTATGCCCATATATGGATGCAGTGACATTGTCTTACCAGTTTTGGGGTAATCAGCGGTAATTGTCACAGAAAACCTGACAGTGGGGACTGAGCTTTATAGCATATGAGCCAAAAAATTAGGAATCAAAAGGGATTTGCTGGGTTATAGATGGCACTATTCAAGATAAATAAATTATTAATACCATACAATTTCCACTCTACTGTATGGTGCTGAATCATGGACACTTTACAAAAATCAAGTCATGAAGGTTTTATGTTTTTCTCATGCGACGTCTAAGATCCATTATGCACATCAAATGGTGGCAGCATATCTCTAACAGTGAGGTTTTGAGGAAAGCTGGCTTTCAATCCATGCATGATCTACTGATACAAAGAAATCTACGCTGTACGGGTCACATTGCCCAACTCAATGATGCTTATCTACCAAAGAAGATCTTATTCTCACAATTAGCTGATGGTACTCGTAACCCTGCCAGACCAAAACTTAGGTTCAAGGACCTTAGTTACACTCGGTAAAGCTGATGAAGGCCAGAGAACTGGCCGAAAATTTCTTTTCCAAATAAATACAAGTCTGCATGATACATACTATAAAGCATAATACATAAATAAATATATATTAGGCCTATATATTTATATTCATTATATATATTTATTCATATCCATATACTACGCTGCATAGCATATCGTTTAATTGTCATCAGATATATCATCAGTGCTTTATATATATACATATACATATATATATATATATATACATATATACATATATATATATATACATATATTATATACACACACAAGTCTGCATAATACATACTATAAAGCATAATACATAAATAAACATATATTATACATTTATATTCATTATATATATTTATTTATATCCATATACTATGCTGCATAGCATATCATTTAATTGTCATTAGATATACTATCAGTGCTAAGTATGTAACTTCCTTTCAAGTTTGATTTTCTATATTTTATACTAAAATAGATAAAAATCATATCTTTCAAACATATTGAATACAACGCAGATGAGCAAACACTTTATGCAAAATATCCCTGTGGAAATTAACCTGCCTCATAAAACAAATTCACTTTTCTATAAATAGCCAGATCATAAAATAAAATACCATACTGGTGAATGATCCATTTCCTTCTACAATAAAGCGAGCAGTTTTGCCAGATGAATATGTTAGTAATTTGCGGAAAAGGAGGAGCAGAGCTTTCTAGTTTGTCCTGCAAGCTAAAATGTTTTCTCATTATTGCTTGGAGATACAAATTAAGGATCAAGGTATAACACTAAATTACTTTGGGAAAGGCCGAATAGAAATTGAAAATAATATATCGATTTCTGCATTAAAGACAGGCCTACATTTTTCTAATGGTATCTAATAATGCAAACTAAAATATCTCTCTGTAAAAATTTAAGTGCTTACAAACTTGACTTCATAGCTGAGGTGGTAGTGCTAGTGAAATGTAGCAAGAGAACTTGATTAAGTACTAGCCCAGTGGTGGTATTGGCAGTGCATATTGGAGCATGTAGTATGAAAGATACTATAAACACACACAGCATAGCAATGAAGCGCATGTACGTCATATCTTTTATGTTGGTCCAGCCGTACGCGGCGCCCTTCTTCTTCCGCAAATAATGGAGTACAGTCATATGATTCTTGTTGTGTGTCATTTTATTCTTTTGATTTATTTATGCCTACGTCTTTGTATCTTATGGATAATGGCAATCATTGTAGTCACTATGACTCAAGTTTTGCAAAAGTTTTTTAGATCCAACTGTACACAGCGCCCCATTTTTTGTATTCCCATCATGCATTTCGGTGAGTTTTTTTTTTTCTGTTGAGAACACTATCTTGTGTTTATAGTATCTTTGGTAGTATTTAGTTGGGTTTGGGAGCAATATGACTGGAAATGTTGGGACAGTCATAAAGAAGGAATGGGGAAAGCAATGTTGTTGCTTGTTACGTCTTGTAAACACTATAATTATGGATTTACGATTTGAAGACTTGTTATACCACAAAGCTGCTGGAAAATGCTCCGGGAATCAAGACCATGTGCAAGCAGTGATCACAAGATCTCACTGTCATAATTTAGTGATGTCACTACAGATTTAATGAAATTCAGTCCACAAATGATTACAAGCTTTGTCTGCGTAAATTTAATAGTAAATTGTCAGTGTTCCCCACCCTCTACTACAGCTCTGGGTTGTGTCTCTGTCCAAAAAAAAAAAAGAAAGGCCATTTCAATTATACTTTCCATTACCTGTACATAACTAAAGTATACAACAGCGTTTCAAATTCAAACTGATGTGCTTCCACATTTGCTGTAGAGGGCGGCAATCTAACATACAATAACTTCATTATTCTTTTTCTACAAGCATTCTCAATTGGTAACGTAGAATCTTCCATAGCAACTTTTAAGGTTTGTCCACTCTATTAAAATTTATGTGAAAAAATAACTGATATGCCCATATTTGGGGATTATGACATCATTATGCCTATATATGGGCACATCACACAAATTTGTCACATAAAATTTGATAGTGTAAATAGAACTTAATGCAAATCTAGAAAAAGTACATATAAAGTAGTCCACACACGTTTCAAAATTTAAAAAAAATATTGCAATAATGATTGACGAAAATGCATTCTAGGATGTGCAAGTCAGGTATCTTGGCAAGCGAATTCAACTCAACTGTTAAATGGATTGGAAGTGACACTGTAATTGTGGTTGCTGGCTTATGTCCAGGGTTAGGCCATAATGGGGTTATTCATTGTTCATATCATTTTCATATAATCATTTTCATTGTGATTGTATTAAATATGAAAGATGCATAGAGAAATTTGGTAACAAGAGCAACAACAATCCTAGAACAAATGCATATGAACTTAGGAGGCAAAGACTTTAAGTTGGTTCGAAAAACTAATTTAATTGCTTACAAACTGATATATAAAATAATACAAATAACATGAATAAACAGGGTTCATACACTTTAAACTAAGTATAATTCCAGGACATTTCCAGGACATTCAAGGACAAACTTCTTAAATTTCAAGAATGTATAATGTCTTCAGACATTTCTGTAAACAGTTATAGTTGCCAATTTTGCTAAAGAATGTCCTTGATGATATAACCAACCTCGTGAACGTTAAATTTTTTACACTTTTCTTTTCATTTTAAATGCAAGATTATTCATTTATTATGGTGAAATGATACCATGATCAAATCTCCAGGATATTTAAGGACAATTACATTTTCTAGGATTTTCCTGCACTGGAAAATGCACATTTGTTTTTCCAGGACTTTCAAGGAATTCAATGATTCGTACGAACCCTGAATACATATGTAGAAAATTGATAAAAGATTAATTGATTCCTGTATTTAACCGATAATGACTGTTCTGATTGACTCTTAAACATCGATAGATGAGTAAAATAAATAATGTATGGTGGTATAGTCAACCATTATTTTAGGAAGTTAAACAAAGTTGCGATGATCTTAGTTTTTAGTTTGGTACACTGAAAGCTGATGAGAGTTAAATGGTTTTTCCACAATGGGATATTCCCAGACTGAAATGGTTGAAATGTGTCACCATGAATTGATTAAATACAATACAATACACAAAAGACATAATGCAGTGTAAGTATTAGTAATGGCTAAATCTTTCGATGAGTTCACATTAGAGTAATGCCTATTGTAGCAATAGTATATACATAAAAATGAGTTACAAGAGAGCGAGGGCAGTATAACCTATTAACACACCTTGTGATGACAGAAAAAAATCAAGATGGTAATTGCCTTATGTATAATATATACATCAATAAAATTGGTGTACACATACAATAACTAATCATTATTATTATGTAATAATTAACATAACTCAAGAATATAAAGTCAGAGGGAGAGGTAGACAGAGAAGATAGACAGATTCTCTCAGCATACATGCAAGTGGTATATATCAAATGAAAGCCAAGAAAAAAAAAAAAAATCATTAAATAAAACTTTTTCAGACTGTGTAAGTAAATAAGCTAGAGAGATACAAATATGTTCGTCATACATTAGAAATTGGAATTTATACGCTGGATAAAATGAAAAACATGTTAGATATTTCAAGGAATTCCATTTGGAAAAATTCTCTAAACTTAAAATTAAAAATATATAACAAAATGTTGCCTACCTCATTTACACATTCTAACTCTTCATTCAAGAAATTGCTTGAGGCGGTTGGCATCTTTTGGATGCTACTATAAAATCTATCAACATACTCGCGGTACTTTGGAACTTCACGAGTGTATAATAAACGATTAGTTGATGTGTCCTACAGGAAATAAAAATAATTTAAAACATATCTAAGCCAAACTGTTTATCTAGTTTATCCACTATGAGAAGCTAATTATTGCTTAGCTATACTTAGTAGGCTATTGATATGTTAATTAACACTCTGCCTGCCAAACACGGAGATCTCCGTGTATAGTAACCCAACGCTTGACCACCAAACACAGAGATCTGCATGTTTCAGGTTTTTTAACGGAATCCAATAGATGGAATAATTACCGACATGTACTAATAATTTGAACACTATATTCAGTCTGGACCACGTGTGTTTTGATATTTCAATGTGACCTATTCTCGGTGACCTCATATTGCACGGCAATACTGAAACGCGGTTATCTCAGCTCCATTGTGTGAATATGCGTGAGTCACTTTCATTTTTCTGTCATGGGTCACAAATTGTGATTAGAATAAAGTGTTTGGTAACATTGTAAAGCTAAGATTGTTTGTAGCTCTTGTAGTATTTATTACATGTCAAGCTGATCACATACACACTATCAACGAGCTTCGGAAAAATGTTTTCCGAAAAAAGTTCGCTAAAAAGTCTGGCGGTGGATGTTACTATTTTTTCGAACCCCTGGCGGTCAGAGTGTTAATTACTTGCTTCCTGTCACCTCTCTGGGGTTTTCTGTTTTTAGGTTATTTTAAGTCATTCGATCTTGAAAATGGTTCCATGATGGACCAGAAATGTCGATGTTTGAAAAATATATCTATTTTATTATTTATTACTTAACTTTTTGGAATTGGGTGGTGCAGCAGTTAAAGCACTGCACTTTCAATTGGGAGGTTGGGGTTCGAGATCAGAGCTGGTCACACTGCATGTGTCCCTGGGCAAGACACTTTATGTTTTCCTCTCCTCACTCAGAAGTATCAATGCATGCCTGGGAGAAGGTGATTTATTTGTGCTGATTACATGCAAAACTAGGAATACTCAACAAGGAGAAGAGGAGGTGGCACAAATGATTCTGTACCAAATGACAAAGAAAAAAAAAACACCTGAGCAGTTCTTTAGAAATGGATATCTGTGCTGAATAAATCCAATTAAATAAATAAATTAATTAATTAATTACCATAAATTAATGATGAGAATGCTAATTAAATGTAGTCACTCTGTTACAATACCTTAGTGTATTTGATAGCTTCGACTGCACAAGAGTCCAACAGTGTCTCAGCTATAATTGAGAGGGCACCCTCCACTGGTAATGTTTGCAAAATATCAAAGATGAAATTAGGATGTGTAATTACAGTCACCCAGAACCTTTGAACGAGGCTGTCAAGCAAACATTAGAATAAATGAATATTAAATTAGAGCTATGATTATGCAAATCAAGAGGTAATTAAGGATATAAATAACAGTTGTGCAAATCACCACAAATATATATTTTTTATATATAAAGAAGGCACCCATAACAGGGGTGGATTTAGGGCCCCAGTCCCGGCCACCATTTTAGAAAAGAAAAAAAAAAAGAAAAGAAAGAAAGAAAAAGAAAAAAAATTGATCGCCCAAGGCGCCAAAGAGGTTATTTTTGGGCGTCTAGAACACAAAAATTTTCACAGGGCATGTCCCCGGACCCCAAGGGTAGTGTTATCTCGATCAGCCCAACTTTCGGGGGGACCCCCCTTTTTGGACATCTCTGGATCCGCCCCTGCATAATATAAGGCTCTGTCTCGATTATCAAATTTTCTTTGACAAAAACTGTTGTATGCCCATATATAGTCATGATGTGCCTACATATGGTCATGATGTGATGTCATCATTACCATATTCAGGTATGTCACATGTTTTTGTCAAATACAATTTGGCTAGGGCTTGGATGCTTCGATGATGTTTTAAGGGGCCTCTTTTCTAACCAACCAAAATGTATGAGATGAGTGATGTTTGACATTCATCCTAAAAATCTGGGCTAGGCATACAGTATAGCAAAAATCCCCTGCCCCAGCAATCCTTATTTCTAAACGCCACTGTGCTTAGGCCGTTCAACAATTTTGTTTTAGTCTTATTATTACCTGTTATTCTTCCATGTCTTGGCCATAACTTGGCCGACATCATTCTCTTCTGCTTGTTTATCAAAGAAATCAAATAGATACTTGATAGTGAGTGGAACCGACAGGTTACTGTCATCGCTCGGTGCTTTCAAAATTGCTTCAAACATCCTGTCTACATATTTTTGGATTGTTGTCTGCAAAAAAAAAGTAAATCAAACAAAAATTAAGAACAATATAATTAAAATAGCTCTTTCATAACAAAGGTGGTAATATTAATAGGTAGCTTACATTAGATAATTCATCCTACTACTATGTCTAATGCAATCTCTGTCTTATGATGTGCTACTGATGAATCATTTATTTATTTAAATATTTTTCCTTGTCTGATATCACATTTTTTATTATTTTTGTGTATTTCTTAAGGCAATTTAAAGAATGTCAGCCACAAATCATGTCTATGAACAGATAGTTCTTATTTGGAGATTCACGACTGGAGAAATGCACCTGGCATTTCGGCACTCCAGCTGAAACACAATGAGGGAATTGAGCCAGCAACACTATGGTCTCAATGGTTTAGTGCACATAGTAACTACAACTAGATTAGCAAACTTACGACGCTCTTCTTGTTACCTGTTCAACAGGCCATCAAAAACCATAATACTTTTGTAATAATTGTACATGCTTTTTTTTTTGTACCTTTTATTTCACTTCAAAGTAAATTATTTGTTTTTCTATAATAGATGGTTCATTATAAACACTTATTATTATTATAATCATTAATATTATCAACATCATTATTAGTATCAAAGAGTGACCTTTGTTGACATGAGACGGGGAAAGTGCACTTCTTGGATGGTCTTTAACTTTCTCCTGTACATGGATCCTTGATTTCGTTTCCTAGAATTCCGATGGTCCTCATCAAAGCTATCCAGTTCTTTAACCTTTCAGAAGAAAAATAAAAATGTACAAGACGACAATTTATTTTTTTCTTCTTATACACTTAAATTTAAACCAAATATATAACACTTTTATGATCTCGAGTGAAGAATGCTTGTCTTAATACTTACATATGTTTATATATTTCATGCTTGTTTTGATAACTTTATTTTAATGTGTTTTCAATTGGTAGACCTGCTCTACTCAATAAGAGTCTGATTCTACTTATTGAGAGGTGCACTCAATTCAATTCAAGTAAATTTGTTTTTGCGTCCAACTAATAATCTAACTCTACTTAAGAGGTGCACTTTAGTTAAAAAGATCTACACTTTTATCAATGAGGGCAACACTCTACTTAACAAGAGCTAAACTCATACTCAATACAAGCCAATTTAATTTGTAATGCATCTCCAACTGACATTCCCACTCTAATAAATGAGAATCCTACTATTATTAATGACAGCATATTTCACTTCATGACAGCGACAGTCTTACACAAGAACTCGCTCTACTAAACATGGTGTACTTTATACTAAACCATCTACTCAACAAGAGCTACTCTACTCAGTAAGAGCTACACTCAATGAGAGCTGTACTCTACTCAATAAGAGTTATAATCTACTTATGGAGCTAGACACTAAAATGACACTTAAAACTTATTCAGACTACACTCTGTTGTGATCAGTTGCAATGCAACCGGTAGTAATCCAAAACTGATTACTGCCGATCACAATCAACAAGAGCATTCAGACCAAATCAGACACGACACGGTTCCACATACAAAGTCATAACGCGCGCAAAATGGATCACGTCGATTGGAAGTTGGATTCGTCAGCTGGGCACTCATTGCGCACAACAGCCGTCGGCCGACATGGATCCACGTAGAACGCAATATCGTGACCCTCACGTGGAATGGATTGTTTTTAATGACGATCTGTTCAGCCTGCCACCGACAATCAGCAGAGGGTGTCACAGCATCTAACTGTCACAGGGACCGAAGTTGGATTTATCAGCCGAGAGTCGTACGACCATCGTCAGTCGTACGACGCAGCAAGTGCCCAGCTTTACACTTTACTTAACACAAGCTGTACTCATTGCATTCTAATACAAGAGAACTATACTCACTAAATGCCAAGGTTGTACTCCACGTTCTATATTGAAATCTTCGGCACAGAATCCATATTTTGCATTCATATTAATAGTATTTTCTAAAAGTACAATAAACAAAATTTTATATTTCAATAAAAAAAAGAATATGTACTGACAAGTCTTAATTAAACAATAACATGTGAAAAATAAATAATGAAACAATATACATGAAATTACAATGTAATATTTATATCATATCTCATTTACTGTATGACAAAATATTAATGAGCTTTAACTTGGGAAAAAAACTATACAACACACAGGTATATATCCAGTGGGGGTGCAATGAATGCATACACTCCCTCCCCCTCCCCTCCCCACAATTAGCAGAACCATGATTGAACAAACAATTAACACTCTATGACTTAATTTCATTATGAAGCCTAGACCGGCCTAGAGTGTCTTAGAGGAATAGAAAGGAAAACAGAAAAGAAAATAAAAGGTAAAAAACAAAGAAAGCACAGAATCAAAAAAAAAAAAACAAAACAAAACAAAAAACAAGAAAATAATGGAAACAAAATGAAAGTAAAGAAAATCAAATGAAATGAATTGAAAAAGAAGGGAGAGTAAAGGAAATTGTAAAAAAAAGGAAATAAAAGAAAAGGAAAAAATGAAAAGGAAATGAAAAGAGATTAGGAAAAGGAGAGGAAGTCAGATTTCTGTTATATCCACATTTAAATTACAATAAACCTAATTAATTATAATGATATAATATCAATTGAGTAAAGTAAATCAGAAAAATATGCTTCACTCCCATGTAATGCATTTCAAAATGCAAAAACTAATAGAAGTTCCTACATTATGCATTAAATAAATCACCATTATTATTAATAGGGGTTTTTTTTTTTAGTAACTGGGTAAAAACCTTCAAATATTCAAAAAGTTGGAAGCTGCAATTGAAGGCAATTTTCATATTTTAATCACTAGCAATAGTTACAATGAAGTCAAGATAAAAAATACAATCCCAGAAAAACATTAACCTAATTAATACCATTAATTTTCATACCACAACAAATAGAAGAACCATCCAATAACTATTATGATTAAAGTGTTATATATACCAATAAATGTGTTTAGAACCTAAATATTTTACAGATTTGTATACACATATAAAATACAGTCGAGTTCGCCTAAGTCGAATCTAATGGGACTGGCATAAAAAGTTCGAGTTATACAGATTTCGACTTGCACATTATCGAAAAAAAAATATTAACATAGAACAATATTATGTGTACTCAATGCCCACAAAATCGAATTTCACGCAAAACCGAACATTTTCTTAAGTCCCAAACTCATTCCTATTCTTCTTTTAATAAAATACTTTCCGGAAACATGAACTCTCTATTCCAAATCTCGGGCGATTTGTCCAATTCAGGATGGTAACACTCACTCGAAAAACCAGACGATAGTTTAATAGACATCGTTTAACGACAAGCATACGAGACGCTGTGAAAACGAGACGCTTAGCTATACTCGCATTGCCATGGAGATTATCTGTTGATTAACACGACACACCAGTAGACGTTTTCTTGGTTAATAATTATGAAGTGAAATTTACGCATTCCAATGTTTTAATAAGTGTATATTCTTGCTTTCAATCCTTAAAAACCATTTGGAATCAACCTGCAATAAAGAGGGAACTCAACAAAGCAAGTTTCTACTGGTTACTCTTTTCAGTAGACGTCTAATTCAAATTCGTTAGATTCGTCGGTGTAAATTTCAAATGCACCTCATTCATTCTTTAAACTCAAGACGCTTTTCAAAACATGTTGCTAATTTAATTACGGAGGAAATTTTTAGAGAATAAAATATAATTTGTTAGGTTTATTTAGATTTGATTCTAAAATATATCATGAGGGTTTCTTATTTGTTTTTTGTTTTGTTTTATAAATTTGTTTAATTAAAACATTCTTGATTACACCGAGCTTGTTACTGTCACGCACTATGAAACTTTGGGCGATCTGACGTCATCACAGCCGAAGCACATGTCTAGTCTGCAAAACACCCCACGAAAATGGACCAATTGGCGGGCAGGCAGAGTTTTTGGGGGCACGACCTGTTCTGTTTACAACTAGACTGCCGACCAGCAAGTGGCATTGCCCAACGAAGAATGTGTGCTTGGAAAAACATAATCAGACCTAAAGAAATGCACGCAAAAACAATATAAAAGTCGCACAGTTTTATTGGTAATAATTAAATTTGCTGAGCAGTACAGCAAAACAACAGGTACTGTAC